TTAGGCTCATTCTATGACTATGGATTACTGGATAATGAATCATTTCATTTCGACCTCATCGATCATTTCGAGGAGGTCGTAACGAAAAATTTTCCTGCTTGCACGGGCGGTGCTCGAGGCGGTGCGACTGCGCACGGCTCCCATTGTGCTGCGACGGTCTACGAAGGCCCCCGATATCCTTAGGGATCGTTAGGGACCGTGCGCCGCGCCCGCGGCACTGTACTGCTCGGTGGGCAGCCCATCGTTCGGCCGGCAGCGACGAGCGGGAGCGCATGGACGGGGACGACAGCCCTTCGCCGCTCACGAAGCGGCCCTCCGATGGGGGGTGCTGCCCCGCGACCAAGGCCTCCACGGTGGCCTCGAGCATGAGCTGCCCGTGGACCCAGTGGCCCACGTTTGGCCGAACGTCATCGCGCGGCGGCCGGAGCTCGGCCCGGTGAAATTGCGACGATTTCGCACTCACCCGTCGAGCCTGCCGCGCTGGACGCGATGGCCCCGATGAGGATGGTCTCGGCAATGAGGTGCAAGGGCTGGGCATTTGAACGGCAACCTCAAAATAAAAATTGACGCGGTCGCTATCGCGACGGACTCGTGAGTTTGGAAGGTACGTGCCTTCGACAAGGAATCCGGGCGTGCTTTGGCTCTCGCCCCGTCCGACCGAACGCGCGTAACTACGTACTTTCGGAGGAGTCGGACGCGCAAAACTCGTCCCGGTCGCCGGCGTTCAGTAGGGCGCGAGTTGCGGCGTCACGTACGCGTCCCGGGTCGTCCGTCGTGACCGGTCTGGGCGCGCGCCGTGGCGGGCGTCAATTTTTTTTTTTGCGGTGCAGTTTTAAGGCCGCTTCGTCTTGTACTTGCGTTACGAATCTCCTGTGCGTCGCCCGGCATAGAATAGCTGCTGTTCGAGCCTTCGACACTTTTTTAACCTCCTTCCAAGTTACCTGACGATGATGATCGACGCGACCACAGTCAAGCTTCGGGTGCACGGCAACGGCATGGACGTCCAGTGGTTTGACGTCAAGTGGTTTGGTGTGCAACTAGTCACCGATGCGGCCGTCCGATCGCTTGTGACTAAGGCTCTGGGACTGCCGGCTGGCACGGATCTCGTTTGCAGACATTCCTGCGATGGAAGCGTCGTAGCTCTGGGAGCGGCAATCCCAGATGGGTTGTTGTTAGATGTGCATGTCTCGATGACAGGTTGTAGGGTGGCAGGTGCCTTCAAAAAGCAGCTCATCAAATTTGAGAATATCCAGGCACACCTAGCAAACGAGCGGACATGGCTTGCCTGGGTCCGCACATCACTCTCGGCACTCTCAGTTGCATTTTCACTTCTGACGCTTGTCGGAGACAGCAGGGAATCATGGCTCGCTGTCGTCCTCTTCATCCTCGGTAGTGGATTCGTAGTCTCCGTGTTCACGGCATTTGTAACTGGCTGGCTGAGATATGCCCGTATTCGTGACGTTCTCATGCTCACAAAGAGAGAGATGCCAGCTCACCTACATCGAATAGGAGTCAGGCACCAAGCTCGACTGATAGGGATCTTATTTATCTTACTCACCGCGACATACCTGAGTGCTCCTTCAGGTCTCTCCTGAGTAAGCAGCAGGCTCCAGCAGGCGTGAAATAAAAGAAATTGCATTTACGGCGGTACAATATGTTTCCGGTAACGAGTTGGTGAGTTTAGACCACCTATCATCAGAGTGAGAGTTGTGTTAAGTCAAGAGGAGTCATTAAGGTTTACTGCCGCCGCTGTCGAAGAAGCCGGGCGTCGCGTAGTCCATGAGCCAGTTGAGGGTGTCCTTGCCCTCGGCGGCCTTGTTCACGTACGCGAAGACCCACTTCTTGAGCATCTTGCTGTTCTCGACGGGGTTCGCCCCAGGATCGAACTTCAAGTTGCTGGCGCTGCTGAACAACGTCGCCAGCTTCGTCTTCGGCGCCTCTGCGGCAGCCATGCTGGGTAGCGGTGGCGCCGCTGGGGCTGCCGGTCGCGCCTCGCCGGGGCGCGCCGGCGCACCCGGGGGCGCCGCGCTGCCCGGGGGCTGCGGTGTGCTCTCCGCCGCTGCCTCGCCGGCGCGCGACCCGCCGCGGCGGTCGCGGCGCGCGGACGCTGTCGGGCGCTGGCGCTCCGAGTCCTCGGGACTGGGTGTCCCGGGAGGCTCGGCCGTGCTGCAGGTGGCCCCGTTACACGGGGGGCAGTGATAGCACGGTGGAACAACCCATAACCCGTAGGAGGTGGCACACTGGGTGTTACCCTAGTGGGGCTAGCCTAGGGGTCTCTGCGCATCGTCTGTGATATACACGCTCGGTAGCGTCGCAGTGACGCTACCCAGACAGACACCGCAGACTCGGCCCGGGAAACTGAAGCGCGCTACGATTGTATGCACTTCTACTCTGTTCGCGAAGGATATTCAGTTTGTTTGAGAGCTAATAATATGTTGATTTACGTGTATCATGGTAAAGTTGTAGTTACCGAATGGCCACACAGCGAAGCGTGCTTAGGTCCGGCGCAACGGCAAGGTGTATCATTAGCCCCCGCGTCCTGTGCCGCAGGCGACATCTTACTCAGCGAATCGTCCGCTGCTGGTCGTCCGCCCACAAACGCTTGGAGTTGAGCTGCGAGAGCCGAAAATTCGGCGACGACACTTGCAAATCGAATGGAGGTCGGTGAATATGTAATGGGTGAAGTCATTGGACGCGGCAGCAGTGCGGTAGTTCACCAGGCTTGGCAGCGGAAGACGGGAGCATTCGTCGCGATAAAGAAGTTCGGGCGCGACAGTCTCGAGGGAACTGACCTCAAGGCTGTACACACCGAGATTGAGCTTCTGAGCAAGCTCGACCACCCGAACATCGTCAAGTATCTTTGCTCGATCGACGGCAACGACGGTCATCTTCACGTTGTTTTGGAGTACATGGAGAATGGGAGCTTGGCGCTGCGTCGGCGTCCATCTGTCGTCGCGGGGGACACGTATGCGATGGCTGCGACTCCCTGAGCTCATCGCCACCGGCGATTCCCTCCGAGTGAAATGCTGCTCTTCCAAGGGGCTGCAGAGTTTGGGCTCACGTTTGCACTGCCCGTCACGCGCACATTCCTTCGCGTGATGACCTGAAGACAGAGAGCAGACCATCGCTCCGGCCGTAGGCCTCCGTGCGCGACCGCTTCGGGGACTTTTCTGAGCCTGTTTGTGGTTCCTACGTCAAACAGGTTTGTCTCCGTCATTAGCTGGTCCAAACGGGCGCGAGCGCTTGGTCGTCGCTCAAGGCCGTGGATCGGGCTTTGCGCTTGTGTTGGACACTGCCCGTAGGTACTCTTCGGACTTGCATATTTACACGCCCAGGGTGTCCTGCACCGGGATATCAAGGGTGCCAATATTCTGACAACTAAGACTGGGGTGGCAAAGGTTGCCGACTTCGGAGTTGCGGCGCGCTTCGACGGCGTTACGCTGCAGTTGGCGACGTCGGGCAGCTTATTCAGCTCTTCGGCCATAGGCACGAGCAGCGTCGTTCGGGTGTGGCGCGCTCGAGGAAGCCGTCGTCGGTTCGCCCTATTGGATGGCTCCAGAGATTATCGAGATGTCTGCGCCACCATCGGCCGCGTGCGACATTTGGAGCCTTGGGCACGCGCCTGTGTGAGCCAACGCAAACCCGGAATGCGTTGGAACTCGTCAAAGAGCCCATGGGCTCGCGGGGCTCTCGTCGACATCGGGGCCCAAGTGAGCTCCGCTAGGATGGAGAGGGGTCGTTTCAATTGCTGAATGAAGCTTTTGGGGGCTCACTCTAGTATCGGCGTAGATGCACCATCCTCGAGCTAACGACTGGGCGGCCACCCCACTTCGAACTGGCGCCCATGGCTGTCAAACGCTGCGCCCCGAATCAAAAGCAACTTTCACTTCTTTCGACGCTCGACCCAATGCAAGTGTCAGTACAAGCGTCAGTCATTCTGTGGGGTAAAGCCCCCGCAAGTGACCAAGTGGTATTTCGCACGTTTCCGTGCTTCATTGACAAATTTTTGAATAAACAACGCGTTCTGATGCGGTTTTGGCGGTCGTGGCCTCCAAAGCCTTGACCACGGTCCCCAATCCGCTTGAAATCGACATTAATGAAGCAATGGGGATGCCATATGCGATGCGAGACTATGGCTGCGAAACCGTACAAGCAGTGCGATGCACAACCGAGTCGTCCGCAAACGTAATAACATTTGTCTACAATGTGCGCCTGTATGCAGCTAGCAGGCGCTTGGGGAAGTTGTGACTTGGGTGGGAGCTTCCTTTCAGCCCGACTATCGCCGCATCCTTGACGCAATCAAACTCAACGTTTTCCCCAAATCGAAATCGTTCACGCCCGTCGCAGGCGCTCTTCCGGATCGTTCAAGATGAGGGCCCACGGCTGCCCGCGGGAGCCAGCGAGGCGCTTCGTGATTTCCTCCTCCAGTGCTTCAACCGTGAGGCAGTCCTCCGCGCCGGGGCCAAGAGCCTGCTCTGTCATGCATGGCTCCAACGCGCGCCTGAACGAACTCTTCGCGTGTTGTCCGCGTCAGCTGCTCAGGGAGTCTGGAGTATCACGCGCCACCCGATTACGATGCGACGTGGCACGACCGCGCTGCAGGTGCTCATGATGTCGATGCAAGTCAGGATTGTTCAGGAGGAGCCATTGTTCGTGTGCGGAGCGCACCATTCATCCGCGGCAGCGCTGTCGTGTCATCTTCCATCGGAATCGCAGGAGAGGACTGCAGCGCACACTGCCTCACGTCTAATGCGCATTCGGACGCAGACCCCATGCTAGACACAACGCGGCACGGCGACGGTGCAGTGCGGTCACTCGATGCGTGCGACTCCGCGTATTCCCTTGGGCTTAAGTCTGATGTATCAGGCCTTCTCAGAATTCCTACGCCTTCGACCGTTTACTGAGGCCGCAAAGAGTGACCAAAACTTTGACTCGTTTCATCTTGCAGTCCTTGTCAGGGAGAACCAAGCCGTCCAAGGGTTCAAGGGTCCTGGGGTGTCACTACTCTCAGACAGCCAGTCTTGGGATGTCAAAAATCTCTTGCGCATCTCGGTGTAGACTGGCTGCGGGAAAAATGAAAGATGAGAATCATGCGCGTCGATGCCTGTGACTACGTGCCCCTCAGATCCAGGGGGTTACGGCTGATTCTGTCGGACTATGTGTCTGAGCTCCTGAATACACAAGGTCTCGGTTTTCACACGGGGTTCGATACCTCCTGCAGCATGTGTCGCACGGACTCAGATCCACATTCAGTGAAAGTCATGGTTATGAATATTCAGTGAAGGTCGATCATGCCCTATTTCCCTCTGTCGGAACCTGTTTTCAAGCCATTGAAGCCATGCCCAGCTAGTTGCAGAGGACCCGGAGCACAGTTAACTTAGGTATCGCGAAGCTGATGACGAGGATGTCGCGGCTGGTCTCCTCACTGATGATTGCGGGTCGAGTGAGCGTCGACCCGAAGATATCGGGCGCGCGCGGGACGGCTTGAGTCTCTCCGGGCGAGACGCATCGTCTGCGATAGACGTGATGGGCGTATCGGGCGGCAACGGCGCCGAGGCGTCGCCTCTGAGCCTGCGACGGTGTGGATTGCTGCGTCCCGACGAGTGCAAACCCATGCGGACCATCTTTCTTAGGTCTAGCTCGCTCTGCAGCGAGGTTACCTGGGACACAGACCACTGGGACTCAGACTTTGAGATGAATGGTACGCTTCGCGTTATCGCAGGCGTTGAGCACCGCGCATCCGCCCAACCCGACAAGGACCACCTCAGCGACCCGTTCGCCTTTGGCTTTCTCGAAGCATAACGCAGAGCGGTGCCCGACAACCTCAACCCTCGATAGCTGAGTCGCCTTCCGCTGTAGGATGACCTCGATTTCATCCACAATGACGACCGTGACCGCGAGTCTGAGGCGTGTGCCGCGCTGGAGGCAGACCTCGTTGCCCTCACAGCATCGCACTCCGATGCCGCGGCAGCAGCCGCGAACCGGCTCGTTGCACTTCTGGCCGAAGCCTCCGCTCCCTTCGCCTTGCCGTGCAAGTTGTCGATCTCTGACGCTGGCGCTGTCTCGCTCCTCACCGCGCTCCGCAGCCCAGGCCGGGCACGTGACGTTCTGTGTGTCATGAACGCACTTATCCTCGCCACACGCGGACGAGCGGCAGACGCACTTTGTGGGCTTGGGCTCGCGTCGGTCCTAGGCACGCTCCCCTACAAGGGCAGCAGCGTCCCCCTCGGCGCTAGTATCGGTGCCCTTGCGAAAGTTCTGGCGATGACCGCGTCAGACACAGCAGTCTGCGCGCTTGTCGCCGGTGGCGGGCTCGATGTTGCCGTCGACCTACTCTTTGATATCGGTGGTGTCTTGTGTCCCACTAACTTAGACGGGTCCCATGGGCGCCGCGAGGCTGCACGGGGCGGCGTTGCACTGCTCCTCCGTTGCCTCGGTGGCAAGACCGCCGCAGCGCGAAGCGCCACTGCTGGCCCCTCGCGCGCTGCGCTGGTCCGCCTACTCGCTCTTATTGACGCGCCTGTTCGGCTTGCCGCGTCTCTCGAAGCCGGCATCGCCAGCGGCGATACTCGCCTTGCCGACGGCAGCGCGCGTGCGCTCGGCGCGCTCTGCGACGGCGATGGTGAATTGTGCGTCGTAATGCTGCAACGGTTTGGAAACTTGAGACGGTTCTTACATTATTGACCGAGTGTGGATGCCACAGGCGCCGTCAAGGAGCGCGCTGCTCGCGCCTTTCAGCGAATCACGCCGGACATAATTTTGGGAAAGACTGCGTTCCATGAAGATCAATCGACAGCGCGACAAGCTCATTCTGATCGCCTCGGCGTGGTGCTCCTCAAAGCGCTAAAGGCCGTGACAATGGGGTCGGCAACAGCCTTGGATACGCTCGCGTCCTGCGGTGCAATTGAGACCGTTATTCACGTTCTACGGGTGACGCGCTCTTGGCGTGAAGGCCCCACCCGAGATGAGTTTGAGGACCAGCTCGTGCCCACTGTCTACTACCTCTGCCGCATCGACAAGATGAGGCTCGCGCGCGCTGCCAGGTAGGTCAGGCGTCTGTGCCAAGCGAAATCTTGGTGATTTCCTCTTCTGTTCACAGCTTTGAATGACGGAATACGGCCTCAGGCATGGGGTCGCAACCCTTCTTGCTGCCTGCGTCGCGCGCCGTCGTCATCTCAAGCAGTTCGCCCTAGCCGTCCTCTGTAGCTCGGGCGTCATGAACTCTGGATACTTCGGGATTACTAGATGAACTGTATAACTCGTATTAATTGGTTGTTTAGACTCTAACGACTGACTTGCGATCCCACAGGCGAGCTCTGCCACTGCGCAGCCACAGACAACTCATGCGGTAATTAAAGCGTCGTTGTCAAGAGAGATTCAGGAAGTGCGGGGGCATGAGTGTCAATGCCTCCTGCTTGCGCGCGGGTTATCTTGACCTAATTTGATCGAGGGTGAGTCTTGCAGGCGATGCGCTTTGGGACGCGGGCGGCATCTCGCTTTATGCGAACCTCCTCGTTGAGGCCTACTGGGGGGTGCGCGCTCTTGTCAGCTTATGCGTCTGTGCAGCCGACTTACCCTAGAGCAAATAAGAATTTCTGATTTGGACGTTATGGACAGTGAGACACTGGGCCATAGTTGTTCTCACAGGCCGCGCTAGCTGCTTGGCTCAAGGCTGACGTGCGCGTCCAGGCTGCGATTGCCCAACCCCACTGTGCAACATCTGTCGTCCTCCTCTTCCGTAAACTCGATCGTGCTGAATTCGAGCAGGCCCTACCGCCCCTTCTCGATGCTTGTGAGACATCACCCCAGTTTGCGCGCGCTCTCCTCGACGTTGGCATGAATGCCTTCGCTTACGAGCTTGGGCGAAAGCTCCAGAAGCACACGTCTGCCATCATCAGGAAGGCGCTACTTGAAATCTTGAGGGCTATTCTCGCTGCTGCGTGGGACCCAGTGGAACTCCTGCGAGCTGCCAACCTCGACGTCGTCCTCACTTCCCTCCGCGGAAACTCAGACCAGGTTCTAGTGACCGAGCTCGCAAAATCCCTTTTTTCATCACCCTCCTAGCAACATGGACAACATATGGCCACTACCTAGTATTGAGACACCAATGGTACACCAATGGGGAATTAAACGCATTCTAGCCCCCAGCGCAAGCCCCCAGGGGGGAGCGGCGCTTGAATTTCCACCCCGATGAACCCGTACTACTACTAGGTCACTAATATTATGGTCAACCGCGCTCGAGTCTCTCTGTTGTAAGGGCCTTGTCTCAGGAGGAAACGCCCCCTGTACCTACTACCCCCGAGGTATCCTGGAGGTATCCTAAGTGGGGTTTCGTGAGACGGATCAACCACAAACAAAAGGGGTGCTGGGAATCGACTCGTTCGAGCTCTAGAGCTCAAACAAGCTCACAACCGATGCCCTCCTCCGCGCGCTACACCAACATAGGGCTGCCTATTCAACTTGAACTTCAACATGGGGCTGGGCTGCGCTCGTTTCGGCCACTCTTGCTCCAGAAACGTTGGAATAGAGCAGAGCTTCATGCGGATGCATTCATTCCAGCGTAATTGCACGTGTTTTATGATCGACTAGTCGAATTTGGTTGGTCCGTCTCACGAAATCCCACTTAGGATACCTCGGAGGTAGTACCTTCCTGTTCTTCTTTTCCCCTTGCAGGTCACTATCCCCATATGCCTGGACTTTGGCCTCTTTGTAGTCCCACATGAGTACGACCGCGGCCCCGCCCCCGACAACCACCCCCAAAGGCAGCCCCAGCCACTGTGACCCCGAATGGACGCCTCCATCCGCCACGCCTCCTAGGGTAGGCTAACTGTGATCGTCGTCTCGATCACCCCCGGGAAACCCAGCGATCCGCACTGAGTCGCCC